GTGGTGGTGGTGGTGGGGAGGGGGGGGGGTGGAGGGTCGGCTTTGCATTCGCAGACACCTCCCTTCAAATAATCCTGCATCCGCCCCTACGATATGTTGCTTTCAACGGCACGACGAAACAGGATGCCTGGATGCGCGTTTGTGATTGCCGTGCCTAGCGCGGTTAACTGAATAATCAAACTTGTGGTTGATAATGAAAAATATATAAGAGTGCATATTTGTAGGTTTGGAGGAGAAAAAAGCTATTGGCACGCGTCGGGCCCGAAGCTTGAAGTAGGCCTACATGTGGCTACCAAAATACTTATTTATAAATTACTGCTCATTCGCGGAACCGATTTTTATCTTACCGACAGTATATAACTTAGATTTATATATTACATGTAATGCTAGGGCAGTATCTCAGCTTTAGGAAGGATCCGAAGGTCTGGCAAAGTTCATTCTCCAACTCCTTGTCCAAGCATCTTTCATCAAGTTAATATTTCATCGTCATCGAAAAGATGGGATGACAGAACGCAGGCACCGGATCTGTCTAAATTTACCGTTATTATAGGCCTATATAAGGAAGCCAAAAATATATAAATGTATAATTACCACACCATAACAATGATATCACCCTAAAGCGCTTTTGTTATGAAAATTCCTTTTTTTTTTTTTTTTTTTTTTTTTTTTTGTTCACGTCCGTAGCATAATTACGTAAATTTGACGGCCATTTTGAAAACAGTCAAATTTATTTTTATTAAATACACGTGAGGAGTTATTTCCCCCATTTTTTTCAAGTGTTATACTTAAATAAAATGAAATATATATTTTTTTATAAATATCACTTTAGATAATTTAAAAAAATGAAAAAAAAGTAATAATAAAAACATGAATTTTGGGCTGCTCGAGATACCCCAACTTTATCACATTGACAATTCATCCCGCCAGATGGCGTTGGTGTATGAGCCTTAGAGGGCTAGGAATTGTGGGAATTATTTTGACTATTCTCATTGGTCAATATGTACTAACTTCCTGTAACAAAGTAAATGGCCCTTATATGTCATGTGAGTAGGATACAGACTAAAGACTGCTGACACTTAGCATTTCAAAGACTTCTGAAGAAAATACCACTCACTGTGTTTGATATATTTTAGGTAAGCTGGGTATTAATATGATTCGGAACTTTGCCCTACATGTCCAAAAGGTTTGGAGAGAATGCGTCCTCAAAATATTTCCTCGACGTAGACAAATAAAGCGCGCACTGCTTCCGGTAATTTCATTTGTCACATTATCTCAGAAGAAAGGTGGCGCTCTGGTAAGGATGGTCATCACTTGGGGAGTTCCCGAAAAACAACGTACACTTTCTGTGAGTCACGTTTTAGTGAAAACTTAGGAGCCTGTTACAGTAACGTTATTCTCACTTGCTGAAACGAGTGCAAAATATTGTAAGTGGAACTCTGCAAATGTTTTATTTAAATTCTGTTCGGAGCAGGGGGGGGGGTAAGAAAAGTCGGACGATAGACTAAATGACGGACGAAAACAGCTACAAAACACGGAATTAAGGACACATTTTGAAATGAAATTTTGGGCTCTTTATGCCCTTGCATTTTTAATACTCCCTCACATCATTAGTGCCCCGCATTGTGACACCCCTGCAGCGTTACGCGAGCCCCCTTTAGCAAAACTAATATTAATACCTTCCCTGCACTGTTACTCCCCTTATTGTTTTCTAAAAGATTATTTAAACTTTAAGAGTTTTCTCAAGAAAGCATGCTATACCACATTGTGTCATGTTAGAGTTTTAAAAGACAAAATATAATAACAGCAAAAAAGATGAGGGTAATTTTTTATTTATCTGCTGTTTTTCAGTTAGGTATTTTATATGAATAACTGTAAGCACTACATGTACAGTTACAACTATTGGCATAATTATAAACGAGTAAAAGTTGAAAAATATATATAATTTGCTCTTGCGTGTCACATTCATCACTTTACAGTTGTATGTTGACAAGGAAACTCGAACTGCATTGTGGGGGAAAAAAAGAGCGTGAACTCATGGCACAAAGGCTCTTGAACACAAAATAATGACTACCTGCTGTGTTTCAAGTTGCAGAAATGATAGAAGGTATCGAGAAAGGTAATTTCCCGCTAATTTTACAATCATGGACCAGAGTGTGTGATCGTCGAGGTTATTCTCCATTATTCGGATACTCGCTGTTTTTGTTTTGCTCTATTTTTTCCCACAATGCAATTCTCATACATGCGCGCAGCGATTTTGTAAGTATCTGTAAAGTGGTGAATAGAGTGGATGACAAGTATATAGTTGGAATAGAGTTATCCTGAGCTCGGCTGTGCTTTAAACAACAGGATGAACATGTTGGTGAAATAAAAATGATTTGTTCTATTGTTCAGGGTGCCAGCCATGTGATAACATCATAATTTTCATCAGTCACATAATTTTCAAGATTTTTTCCATAACAAACTTGTGGTTTATCTCCAGTCGTCGTGGTTTATCTCCAGTCGTCAAACACCAACAGAAGAATGGATCACAGCAACTGAGTACATCCTTAAAAATACAAAAAATTTGGAATTTTTCAGATATGACTAATGTAGAAAAATTCCAATAGAGGGCCCTGTCCAACGCAAGCCTTAGGCCAGGAACATGGAAGTTGACTATCCACCTCCACAAATTTGTATGGATCAGAGTTCTAAGGGAAATGGGAAAAGTACTCCAGATACCGATCACTCCTATAGCAGTGTCCTCGTAGATGACTCACATGTGGATGAGAGCTATAACGACTATAGTATAAAACCAAATTCCCAGAATAATGTGCATCTTCAGGGGAAACTTGAGATGGATGCTGGAGACAATTTGTGTCAGGGAAATATTGACTCGGAGACGGGATTATATACTGAAGCAACTATTGTAATCAGAAAGCCAACAGAGGATGGTAGGATAAAAACACAGGAGGAACGACTAGGTACTACGGAAAAATGTGCTGCCAAAGGTAATGCATTGTCACAAAATTGGGGACAGATCCATATAGTGAAGGAGAATGATGAACACTCAACTCCCCAGAACTTGAGAGACCCACATCCTCATTCAGTTGACCACATGGACACATCAGATAATTTGATAAAGGTGGAGAACTTGAGTAACAGTGCCATAGGAGTGCCAACAGTGCCACAATTGGAGTCGGAACACTGTTATGGGAAGAACAGTAGAGATTATAATCAGGAGATTAAAACGAATCAGAATGTGGAGGGCAGTGATGACACTGATATGGAGATTGATGTAGAGATTGGAGTGGAAGAAGTAGAAGTGAATACCCTGGAAAATGTTGATGAGGGAAGTGGCATGGAGGTTGAAGAGGAAAATCAAGTTCTGATTGAACCAGAGGAAGTTGAAGTGTCAACAAAGGCAGAGGGTGGAAAAAGTAATACTCCAGAAAGTAGTAAGAAGGATTAACAATATTCTTTTAAGTGAAAGTAAAATTTGTTGTATCAACTATATTTTAAATTTTTGCAAACTGCATGTACCAGAGATTGGTCTATCATTTTGACAAAGGGTGTGTTCACAACCAACTTGAGCTGTGGCCTAACTACTAGTAAGCAGTGGCCTAAATATGGCACAACCCACATAAAAGCATGGTGTGCAATCCCCTAATAGAGCCAAGAGTTCATTGTTCTGCCCCCTCAGGGATGGCACGCGTGTTAGGCGGGGAATCCATTAGGGAATTACATGCCTTGCTTTCCAGTGTGTGCCATATTTGAGCTGGGGCTCAGTTAGCTGTATAGGCTGTGTGGTAACTTAGTTGTGAACACTCCCTAAATAGTAAGTAAGCTTTCTGGATACACAGGCTTCAGGTTCTTGGCTCAGAAATAAGTTAAATACAGTAAAGACATGATCTTTTTAATGGAGGAAAATTGAAAGTTTTTCAGATACTGTATTTTAAAGGCATAATTTCTTAAAATAAGAGCATTCCTTAAAATGAAAGATACCTGGCAACAGAATTTAAAACTAGGCTGCTGTATAGTTCTATTACACGCAGTAAAATCACCACAAATGCAGTATAGAAATATAATGTTTATGATTTTAAATTATCTGCCTGAAAATTTGATCATTTTTGCCCATTGAGTCATAAATGTGGAGTCATAAATGTAATCAAAATCCTTAAAAAATATTCTGGGTATGATTTCAGCATTGCAAACTCTCAAGGCACTGGCAACACCCTTCCAACATTCAGAAACGAAGAGCTCCGATGTTGACAGCAGGATTCTGGCTTTGGTCATCCACTCACTGGAGAATGAGTCCCTTGCGGACCATTTTCTGTACTCCTTTATGACAGTGAGAGTGCATTTAGTGAATGGAATAACTGGAAAACCAATGCAATGTCAAAATGGGTATGAATAAGTTATTAAATGTGCAGTCTGGAAGTATAGTGTTACGGTAGCAGTAATAATGTCCTTGACTTCAGTGTCTTACATTTTTGAGTTCATGGTCACAGTCATCATATAAATTTTCTGAAAATGTCAATAGTATTTTATTGAATTCCTACCCCAAATATATGGGTCTTATTTTTAACCAGTAGTTAAATGCCTACATATCCATTTCTTTGAATTTTGTTGAATGTCTTTAAGTTTTTTCTTCTTATAAATTTATCTCTAACATAATATCATTTAGTTTTAATTCTGAACCACAGTCCTAAACATATCCCAATTTTTAAAAAAAGTGCACAAAACGATACTTTTTGAAAGAGTTTTTACTACGGGTTCGTTCCCACTGAAACTTGTTCTACATTGATTGATCCAACTTCACGGGGACTTTAACTGAAGTCTAACACTAACAGACTATGAAGCCTCCCCCTGGCATTGAGTAGAATACAGAAAAGCTGGGCCCAGTTTTATAAAGGATGTTTATCACTAACCAGTGGATAAGCCTAACCAGTGGATAAATTCTCCTAACACCCATTAACTAAAAGACGGTTAAAATGTGTTACATATACAGTGTTCTGACTGAACACTGTATATGAAATAAGTTAACTGGCCAATGTTTAACTGGATAAAATAATTATTTAAAGGTCAGTTAACTAACAGACTGTTTAAACACTGTTTATGAAACACAATTTCATCCGTCATTTAGTTAACGGGGTTTAGGAGAATTTATCCACTGGTTAGAGTTAAACACTGGTTAGTGCTAAACGTCCTTTATAAAACTGGGCCCAGGGGTGATTATACGAGTATGTTGAAAATGAGGAGGGGTGTTAATCTAACCCAGACACCTTGTAGCTTTCATTATGCTTTTAATCCTTTTTATCAAATTTAGGGAGATGGTTTTACCTAGGATGACAAAACCGTGGGACTTTAAAGTAAACAGGTAAATGCACCAGCTATATATTATAGTATATTTACCTCCGCCAAGGAGGTTATGTTTTCACCTCTGTTTGTCTGTTTGACTGTCTGTCATCAACATAACTCAAAAAGTTATGGACCGATTTTGATGAAATTTTCAGGAACTGTCAGAAGTGGGCCAAGGAAGAGATGATTAGTTTTTAGTGGTGAACTGGATTAATGATCAATCAATAATCAATTATAATCAAAAGTTGCTGCCTTGGCTGAGGTCTGCGCTCTCGGAGTGCTTTTCTAGTTAGTGTTATAAAACAAGTAGACTTTAGAGTATGATGCTGATTGCTCTAAGCATGGCTTCTAAAATTCTGTTTTTGTAAATAAGAAACTTTTTCAGATTATATATTCAGGTATATCAGCATATCCTACTTTGCTAAATAATCAAGGAAGACATGTAGCTAGATATAGAATGCTCTTGGAGAATTTTGCGTCCTTCATAACCTTGCAGCATGGCTAAGAATAAAAAACAATACACAAAGATAATTTTATTATTACATGTAGGGCATGAGGATGAAAAAATTTTTGTCTCATTTTGATTAGTATGCTGTTTTAAAGCGTAAAGTGGGATTAGTTTAGATGAGTTGAGACCCACACAAATAATTATGAGAAAGGATGTTATCTTTTTTTTTTTTTTTTAAGAACGAAGACAGCTGTGTGGGAAGAACTTTGCCTCTTTAAAGAAAGTTACAGTTACGTCATGGAAGAAAAGCATCAGGCAGTTTTCCTGTTTGAGGTAAAGCCAAGTGTAATGAAGCTCCATTCCATAATCAGTATTGCCATAAACCTTTCAGCTTATAAGTAACTGGCCATTCAGACCACCACCTTGAAATTCCAAAAATCTACAGGCCCAAATCGGGATTCACAATTATGAATACAATATTTTAATAATACTGGACATATTACATGATGGCGTGGATATTTACTAGTAACAGAACCTTGATTTTGTTAGACAAGAATCTTCATTTAACAGTGGCATTGCAGAAAAATTTAACCAAACCAAACACTCTTGAAAACTTCAGGAAAAACCTAATGGCCTCATCAGACCACTAAATTCACACATTCTAAAAAATGTTTTGGTTCAAGCAAAATTTTACTGGCCACAGGCATAGGACCAGTGGCTATTTTGTGGACTGCATAATTTTAGGTCAAGATTTGACTTTTGCTGAAACACAATGATCTTCACTAAACCTTGGTTTTGATGAGATCAAGTCAGTGGCCTTTGTAAGCAAGTATGTGACCTTTTAGGTCACACGTGACCTTTTGTTATGCTGTTTATGATGTAATCAAGTCTGCAACTTTGTGATAAATTACACCATTAAGTAATGGTTTAGTGTACTTTTAATTATTTGAAATATATCTGATTTGAGTAAGCAGTGTTTTCTCATGGAGTATTGGAAAAAGACATCGCTGTCATGTATATTTATACTTCAGGTAATGGATGCCTCAAGTTTGAATACTGCCAACCTGAAGAACCGGCTTGCAGTAGCTGGAGAAGGCAGGGTGATAGCATGGGGGTTCTTGCCAGTGAGTAGTTCCTTATGATATCACACTTAAAACACTGCCATACATAGCTCATTAGCAGGGCTTTTTTACTGCCATCTAACATACCCCAATCACCAGTGTTCTTGAAAAACTTTGGACACATAATGTCTGACATAAAATATCTCTATGTCAGACATTTTTTTATCATGTCAGACATTTGAAAAATATATAATTTTTCATGGTTTACTTATAAAAACAAGTCTGATAACAACAGCAGCACAAAATAGTGCCTACATCAGGTACACTGTGAAATAGTGGCCTCATTTTTCAGCATGTCACAGTCTGTGACATAAGCTTTTCAGCTCTCTGACCATTCAGATCACCAATTGCTTACAATCACTTGTCTGACTTAAAATTTGCCCGAAAAAAAAAATTCCAACAGACTGGACATTTACCTCTATTACATCAAAACTAGTAAAAACGAGACCTTGCTTTGTCAAATCTTTTTATATTTAGAATTACATGTAAGAGTTTGAGATTTCAGAAAAATATCAATCAAATTGAAAATGTCTACTGAAAACTTTCAGTTTCACAATAATTGTTTTGGTAGAATAAGTGAACTGCCTTGAAAAATTTACTAAAAGAATTGTACTTCATATATATGTTATACATATATTAGAATTTCCTATGTCCACACACAAAGTACTGGTAGATAAAAAAGCAGAATGTATATTTTTTAAATTATTTTTTATGTTTTTATATCCTTGTCTTTTTATAAAAAAAAATACCCTGAAAGAAAGAAAAGCAAAGCCATGTAATGGTGCTCAGATGTTGCTTTATTTATATAATTATTATTATCACTAATAACCTTAAATTTTAATCACTATAACTATTTGAAAATTTAAAATGAACCTTTTATCACATACACCTGTAAATTGCCAATTGAAAAAATCAAATATAATAAAATTATGCACAACAACACAATGGTCCATCATGCTTGTTGGATTAAGAAAAACTATTAAGATCATCTCACATTTACTTTTAAAATCCACTATTTACTTTTTTTAAAAATAAAAAGTTACATCGTTTTTATCACCGAGTCTGTACTTTATGGCAGCTGAGCAGAAACCAAAAAGATAACTGCTTTGTTATACATGTAAGTTACCTCAACTCCAAGTGCCTGTTCTGCACTGGGGGAGACGGAGTACAGCGCCACTGTGTCTGCTCTATCGACATGTGCTCACCCTTCAACTGTGTGGCTTTTAAACTGGCCTGAACTGGTTCAGCAGTGGTAGGCCAAACATGTAGTAGTGGGGAATATATATCAGTGTCATTTTTTACCACAGGATTGACTTGTTTGGGAGAATCTAATTCAGAGTCCAAGTGTGGATATTCTATTTTAGTTCAAAAGAATAAAGTAAGTTGCAGTTAACTATGAATTTGCTTTTGAAAGTAAATTTAAAAATTAATTAAAAAGTTGTGCTTAATCCCAACATTTTTCAAGGAGGCTAGAAAATGCTTGTTAAGGCAAGACTAATATCAATGCATATTTTACTTTTTTGCGCTGGAGCAATTTGTGCAGTGGCAAAAAGCACTGGCAACTGGGCCAGGACTTAGTATTTTAGATGCTCTGCCATTTGATAGTGCGGACATTGTGACTGACATGCTGATGTTTCACGTCAGACATTTACAATTTATGACGGACATGTTCGGCTGTCCGACGGTTTTTCGGGAACACTGCCAATCACACTGCCACATCTAACACGCAAACCAATTAGACTATCACATACAAGTCATTGTCACACTAAGTATACTGTCACATCAAACACACTGGCACATGTAGCAAACTTTTGCATCCACCTAACTTTCACTAATGTCCAAAGGAAATAAATCAAGGATACACATTTGTTTTATTTCCACCTTTGGTAGTTTTGATAGAAGCTTTTCAAAGACAAGCTGGTTTTTATGTTGAATGAGATTTAAAGTTCGTATTTTTCCAAAAATGGAAAGGTTTGAGTCAACAGATAATTCATGAATAACAGTCTAATTTGCATTTTACAGGTGACGAACAGTAAAGGAAAGGGGAGGAAGTGGTTACAATTATACTGGCCTCAAAAGAAAACACTAACAAAACAAGGAGAAATTGAGGTAAAGCACTGTTTCATCAATTTTCACAATGGACCTTGAATTGAAAAATGAATACTTATCACCCAATGATAAGAGCTCCTGGTCTTTATATTTATAACTTGAATTGAAAGTAGAATTTTTTCTTTTGACAGAAATGAGGACAAACTGTAAGCATTTTGAATTGAACAACAAGCAGGGTTCGCACAGGCTTGAAAAGTGCTTGGAATTTAGCTTGGTGCCTTGAATTTGGTTGGTGGCCTTGAAAAGTACTTGAAACTGCCGTTTTCCTTGAAGAGTACTTGTATTTCATTATTTTTGTCCTTAAAAAGTGCTTGAATTTGTTCAATAAACTATTGGTCAATAATGATG